AACGTTACTTTTCGAAAGGGTTTTTTTTTTTAAATTTAAAAAATTTTATTTTTTATTTTACTTTAAATTAATATATTGTTGATCTTTTTATATCATTTTAGTGTATTGATTTAAAAAATAATTTTAAAAAAATAAAAAATATATTATTTTAATATGTTTTGAAATAGAAAGAAAAAATAACCATTATTATACTCCTAAATACTCTATATTTATAAATAAAATATGATATAAATAATAATCATAAATATAGTACTAATTGAGTTTTTCGCTAATTATAAATTATTCTAATTAATAATATTAATCTAAATAATAGATTTAATTGCATTTTATTGTCACTTCACACTTTAGTTTTTGGATGATTTAATTATATTTTTTGTGTAATAAAGAATATCTGGATAAAGAACAAGACATTTTTATAAGGACTCTGGCAAATTATACTATGCATCAATTCAATTTCAACCATTCTCTTTGGGATTTTGAAAAGGAAATTTTGGAACAATAACAGACATTAAATGAAATTGAAAATAAAATAAAATATTATATTTTTTTATTTATATAAATGTTTGGATTAACTTGTATACATCATGATTAATCTTATAATTCATTAAATACCTTATAAATTCATATAAATCCAATAAACATATAAGACACTGTAGAAATTACAATCACATATAGAGATAACCCCTCCTACCGTCATGCCACTGTATTCTACTTTGACGTAAAAGCAGGAAATTAAGAACAACTGAAATGTCAAGAGTTGCATGTAGAACTTGACCAGGAAAGCATGCTTGCAAAGCGTTGAAGTTAAGAGATTACACTATCAATTAATTAAATAGCAACGACTTAATACAGATCGCTCATATTTTCCCAAAGCATGGTGTTAACAGCAAATTAAGTTGAGCTTTGCTTCAATCTTTTCAACAATCTTGGTCATGAGCAACATTTTTCAATTGCGTGATTGTAAAACAAGCTAAGGTGATCAATCCATGGCGACGCGTTTTTTAATGTAATGCTGCCCCTCCCTCCCTAAATAAATGGAGATTTTGAAGACAAGTGTTAAGCACATGGCAGCTTTACTAGTCTTCTGGAAAAGAAAAAACGAGCCTGTTTTACAATCTATATTTAATAAATTAATGAATGATATGGTCATGCATATTCTAAATTTTATTATCTATTTTGAATTCAATAATTTAAATATATATATA